AAAGCACTCTCTGCAAAGACCCAGAGCGCTTTCACCAGCAACTACTGCCTGCAAGCCTCAAAAGCATTGCTGAACTGAGATCTTTCATTGTTCACAAAAATGTACTCTGCTTTATGGAACAATTTTACACACACACACACACACACACACATATATATATATATCTGTTTTTTTTTTTTTTTTTTTTTTTCCCACAGCTATTTTTAAAATGTTTACTGCATGGATAAAAATTCAGCTACACATAGCAGTCAAAATAAAGTAATTTTATTTAACAATACAAAATCACTGAATTACATGTACAAACAGCTTCAAATTAATAACATGTCAAAAAAAAATTCTCCAATTACAGTACAGATGATATTATTATCATCTTGTACTATAACCCTCAGCTATGCTCTCATTGAGAACATCTAAGAGTTCCTCCTCGCCCAACACCTCCCAAAAGGCTTTATAAAACTCAACTGCAAGCCCATTACCTGGAGCTTTTTCTGTTCTGCAGTGCATTCCAAAGATCTCGTTCACACAAAGGTCTCTCCAGCACTGCCTTTGACTTTTCTTGCAACTTTGGTAAGCCCGCATAAAAACTAGCAGACATTTCCACATCTTTCTTCATCATAGAACTTTACAACCCGCTGTCTTATTTCAGACGGCGCTGTCAGCTCTTGCCCATTTTCTGAGGTCAGTGAGTGAATGTATCGACTCTGGACATTTTTCCTCTCCAAATTAAAAAAGAACTTGGATCGGGCATCCATTTTCGTGAGATCTTGACCAAAGGTCCCTTTGCCTTCATACCTAGCAGGTCCACAAAGAATAACTTTTTAGACTTAAGGGCATCAATACCATTCTGCCCTCCAGTAACCTCTATTAATGTTTGTAACTCTACAATTTCAGCTTTGAGTTTTCATTTTTTGTGTAGTGTTTTTAGAGACATTGAAAGTATACTGCTGACAAAACAATTTAATTCCAACTTTTCCGTAGTCCCACCACTGACGCAAATTTATAAAACATTCTTTTTTAAATTTAAATTCCTTCTAAAAATAAAAAATAAACATCTATTTAAACTCTAAATCACTCAGCAAGGATATATTAAAATTAGAAGGACTAATTGCACAGCTTTTCACAATGTTAAAATAGTGTTTAAAACAGTATAATCTATTCTGGCCAAGGAAATAAAATTCCCTCAAATATGCGTCCACGTTAATTGCTTATCATTCTTATTCAAATGCATCCATATATCACAATTTATGAGTCTCAATCAATGTGCGTATAGCACAGCATAGCATGATTCCAATCTCTACATAATTCTCTGTACAGTTAAAATCACCACCTAAAAACCAATACTCATCTGAATTATAGCTCTGCAAAATTCCATTAAAATCATAAAAAAAAAAATCTCTCTCATCGCCATTAGTGGGAGCATATACATTGATAAACACAATATTGAATTTTTCAAATTGTGTTTGTATAACAATAAGTCTACCAGGAATTTGTTGTTTCACCTCAAAAGAGGCAGGAGTAAAATGCTTAGCAAATAATACAGCCACCCCTTCTCTAGCAGAACTCGTATGAGAGCACAGCACCACTCCTTCCCATTCTTTTCTCCAGTCAGTTTCATTTAGACCATCACTATGCGTCTCCTGAATGAACACAGCATCAATTTTCTTTTGCTTTATTAATTCAAATAACAGTGCCCGTTTATATGCATCTCGTGCCCCATTCAAATTAAGAGTGCCTATCCTCACCACACTCATTAGAAAGTATGAAGGAAGGATTGAGCTCAAAGTAAGTTTCAAGATGTGGGAGCAAAATAGACTGTCGTTTCAAACCCATCCTCTGCTTGAAGTTCGGATCTCAGTTTTGCAGCAATTTTCTTAAATCTATATATTTCCTGAACAGTAAACTGTTCTTCACCCTTATTACAGCGTAAAAAAAAAATTCTGACATAATTTGAAACTGTAAAGGGTATACTTTTATTAATGTATATTCACAATAAGAACAAAACAGTGCCTTTTCTAAAATAAAGAAAACAAACAGGATGCGCTTTTAGCCATCTGTTTCCTTAAACTTGTGGTGCGGCCATAAAAATGAAACGAAGCAGATTTCCCTTTTTTGTTACTTGTTACTGTTAATTATTTAACTGAAACATATTTTGTGTATTTTTTTCCGTACTTTGGAAGTCAATGGCTACCAGCAGCTATTTGGTTACCAACATTCTTTAAAAATCTTTTCTTTTGTGTTCAACAGAAGAAACCCATACAGGTTTCAAAAAACTTGAGGGTGAGTAAACGACACTGTTAAAATGAAGTAGTAGACCTAAATGATAACATCACTGTATCCATTTCCTGTGACCTAACACAAATGCATGAGTTTCATAAACTGCAATACAAGAACCCACCAAGATTAGTATTGTTTTTTTTAACCTACATAATCTTGACTCAGGATTTGACATAGAGGGACTACCATCTGCTGTCTGGCCAGGAGGTGAAACAGAGGCGTTAACAAGGATTGAAAGGCATCTGGAGCGAAAGGTGTGATCATATAGTACATCAGTGGTCTCAATCTCAGATTACCTGTGGCCATATGCCTGGTGGTGTTTAACAGCTAAAACAAATACAACAGAAAGTTTTGTTACGACCATGAGTTTCACTATGTACTGTGCAGTTATTGGCCCAGTTTTGCAGTTACTGATGCATTGATGGACCTTTTTTAAATACAGTATGCTAATGTACAACAATCTTTAAAAGAACTATAAGAAATAAAAGGACCGACTGAAAGTGAAAATTATAGCATACCAAACTTTATATTTTCCCTCCTAAATGTTTTTATAGGCTTGGGTTGCAAATTTTGAAAGACCCAGAATGAATGCCAATTCTTTGCTAGCCAGTCCGACTGGCCTGAGTCCCTACCTCCGTTTTGGCTGCCTCTCCTGCCGCCTCTTCTATTTCAAACTCACAGACCTCTACAGGAAGGTACAGACATGACGCTGCACTATCCATCTATGTATAAAACTAGTATACTATATTG